CTGGTAATTCGATTCTCCTCCGTAGGGCTTAGAATTGAGGAATGCATGTTTGTCTTTTTGCAGATTGTTACTCATTTTGACAATCTGACACAAACTGATTTGTCCGAAGGCCTACCAATTTCTATGCTTTTCATGTGTAATATATTTGGTAATTTATTAATTTTTTTGATTCTGATTAAGCAAGAAGTTTTTTGCGGTATTTTGTTAGATTTTAGACAAAATGACACGCCGACGTTAGCGGAATTTACAGTCACCGAAGCGGTTTACAATTTTGTTGTATTTTAGACGCCTTAATGCATCCTGTTTTCCATCATTCTAATTCACTACAATCGCTCAAAGTGTCTTGATCGTCTTGCGAGACTGAAAAATATGAACACCGTGAAATTGATTGGGTTGTGCACTCCATGAAATTGCATGTGGATGGAACGGGGTAAGGAGAGGTACTTTGGAAGTTGTCACAGATTATTTGAAGGAAAGTAACTTACCATGAATAATAAATTTATCAATTGTGGTTGGCTGTTCCATCTGTCATTTTGTATGCATCATCTGTTTAAGAAGCTTTCATTACATCAATTATTTTCTCTACTCTGAGATATTTGGACAATAATAAATGACGACTGAGCTACTACGACAGTTGTCAATCAACAAGGTGGGATATTGGGGAAATCATCTGAGAAATGAAAAAAGGAGACAAGACTTCAGAAGTACAAAATGTGAAAATTGACTGGTGAGAAAATTATGAATGAAAAGAAAGGGCTATAGAACAGATTGGGGCGGATCTTCCATCGTATTGGTCAGATTTTTCATCATTGACTGGTTAGTTCAGTTGTCCACTAAGAGGTCACATTACTTGCTTAAGGTGTCAGTCCAAGGCTCGGCAACTGAAAATGATTAAAAAAATAAAGATAGTACTAATATTTAATAGTACTATTTTAGTACTATTAATACCATTGAGTACTATTTTTAAAAAGTAATAATTTTTCATCTTATTCTATGATTTTCTCCAAAATTACTAGGATTATAGATGTGGTGGCGAGGAAACATTTGCATTTCGGAAATTCATTTATTTAAAATGGCAGGCGTTTTGATAATTGTCCTTATCCCTTTAGCTGACTTCGGGCTTCAGAGAGAGGAGGAGTAACATCAAAGGGGGAAAAATTCGAGAGGAGGGAGAGAAGAGTGAATCACAGATGTAAGAGAGACAGACAGACGCAAAGGTAGAGAACAGGTAAGATGAGTACAATGGAGTGGTGTAATATGACATAGTGTCGGTTCATGGAAGTTTGAAGTCAGAAGTCAACTATCGGTTTATGGACTTTTTGCCGTATGAGTATACAGTGTCCAGGATTTACCGCGTGGAGGTAAGTCTATCGCACACCCCGCATTTCAGAAATAAAGTGCATGAAACAATTGAAACTTAAGTTTGATGAAGGTTTTGGTCTAATGTTCCAAAATAAAATTTAATGAATTCTTCTTGACCATGCAAGAAAACGGATGACTTCACGCAATATTATTATCAAATTTTTAAATATTTAACTTTTCTTCAAATCGCCAATTTCCAAAATCAACATTTCATGTTAACTCGTTTGACATATACACTCCAGATAAAACTCAACCTTAGGCTGAACATGACCCTTTTGTCAGAAGCCTCATGCAACAACGATTTATTGGCATCCAAGGATGCAATAGGCTTCAGTAGAGTATTCAGTTGTGACCTTTAATCAAGAGGATACTTGAGAAATATTCCTGGCAGAAACGATGCCAGTGTGGATGGAAAATGCCTAACTTAACTCCGTCTTCAGTGAACTATTTATTTATTTCAAATGGCAGGCTTTATGATATTTATCATTAGCCCTTAAACTTTTACTTCAGCTTCCCCCAAGGGTGGGGATACATATAGAGCAGTTAATTAATAGCAGTTCATAGGCTGCCTTCTTGCTTCCCAGTATCTCTGGACTTCCGTCCTTGTCTTTAGGGCTGGACACCGAATCAGGTGGGTCTTCTCCATTTCCTTCTGTAGGTTACATAGAGGGCATGTGGGTTGAGTGTATACTCCCAATCTGCGAAGGTGTTTTGCCAAACAATCGTGTCTGGTACGTGGTCTAAATTCAGCAACGGCTTCGATTCTTCGCCAGTCGGCTATGTCAGAGAGTACCACTGTTCACTGTTTCTCCTTTGTTCAGGCTTTAAGTTCGTTACACCTTGAGGTCTGGAATTCTCTTCTGATTAAGGCCTTCATTGTGTGGAAAGACATCGGCCGGTCCATGCATTCCAAAATCGTTGACCCCTTCTTAGCAAGTGTATCAACAAGCTCATTGCATTTAATGCCACAGTGACCAGGAATCCATTGTAGGACCACTCTTTTGTTTTTCTCTCTCAGCAGCTCATAGAGTTTTCTACATTAATTTATCACAGCTGTTTTGGGTGGCTCTCTGTTTCCGATTGAGTTTATTGCTGACTGTGAGTCCGAAAGTATCACCGCTTTGGTGAATTTCGTATCGTGGCAACAGAATTGGCATAGTGCTATCCTAATAGCCTCTATTTCTCCTTCAAAAGCGGATCTATTGTGTCCCACTGCTGCGTAGAAAGAGAAGAGTTCAGAATAGACACCTGCACCAATGTTTGCTTGGTTTTCTATGTATGACCCATCAGTGAAGACTTGGAGCCATTGATCTGCAGGATAGTTGACATTGATAGTCTCAAGGGCCAGTGAGTACATATGTTCTGGAGAGGTGTTTGATTTCCTGAAGAAGTCGAGCAGTTGGGTGCAACACACTACATCAATGTTTGCCAATGGGTTCATGGGGAGAGAGGGGCTTTTTGGTTTNTGGCCATGTTGTTGAGTTCGTACTTCAGCAGGCCGAAGTAGGCCATAGAAGAAAAGGTAGGCTTGATAAGTGTTTTGTCAAATTCCGGTTAAATGCCAGGACAATAGAAACTGCCCTTAACCTATATTAGTTATGATTTCAATCATCTTTTCATGTCCGCATTTCTTCATTTAACTTTGTTTGATGAC